CTTTGCCTTGCAAGCATCTGATTTTTGGGCCATGAAATGGCAGTTTACAACAAGGCAGCTATGTCTCAACAGCACTTTTTCTGGCTGTAGAAAGAGCACAGGTGCCGCCAGCTTCAGAGCCCAGCACAGAAGCCCCACCTTGTTTCTTGCTAAGAAATGTCTCCTTTTCCCCCATTTCTGGCAGGAACCAGGCTGGGAGATCTTAGTAAATGGCTTTAACAACCTGTGTTTAATGTGGTGACACTAATGAATTCTGGGAATTAATCTTCAGTCAAGAGAGCATGATGGAAAGTATTAGAATTTCAAATTAGGTAATGGATTGATTTCCTTCAAGGCTGAAATTTGCTTCCTTTTTCTTCTGGTGGACTTTTCTGCAATATTCAAACAGCCCATCATAAATGTATAAATCTAGCAGAAATCCAGGTAATACATCATGGTAGTTTTGTTTTATTTTCTTGCTTTGTTTTGTTTTTAGCGCAGAAATAACCACACCTAAATCCAGACTTTAAAACATGATTCTAAAACATCTGCGAGTGAAAGAATTACTTAATGACTTTGAAAAAAAGCAGTATCCCTAAATCTAGTCCTTGTTCAATTTATTTTTTCCAGAGTAAAAGACTCTGGGAAGAACTAAGCTTGCGGAATGTACTCCCTGAGTCTGAGACACCATCTCTGCAAAAACAACAGCATATAGGTGCCTCAGATGTGCTGGCAGCCATTAGGAGCTCCCTGCCTCCCCTCGCGGGCCGAGATGAGGGCTCTGCTAGCCATTCCCAAAGCCTGGTACTGGTTCCTTGCAGCAGAGCTTCAGAAGATGTCATTTGCAGGCTCCTGGATCCCCTGACACAGCAGAGGGTCTGTGGGCAAGTAAATTTGGAAACATGGATTTAAACAAAATCAAGTTGTTGCCTTACCCACATACTTCTAAGAACACTTAATATGCTCATATACATTATAAAAGTCCAGAATTAGTTGGTTTGGAAAATCACCAATGTTTCCCAAACTGTTTTGACGCGTATACTAGTTTCACTTTCCAGTGGACTGTCTTGCATGTCTAGTCTTTCACCCGATCCACCTCACACTGGCTGGCCCCTGTTTCCCACACAGAGAGTAACATTTTCGGCATTCTCTTGTCAAAACTGCTCAGTCCCCAGCTGGGGGAAAATACTTTGCATCTGAAATTTGCAATTCCTGGTTTAATAAGCAATCCTGAAATAAATAGGCATATTATACCTTCCTTAGTAGTATCCCTAAATCTAGTCCTTGTTCAATTTATGTTTCCTTAGTTCTCCATGTTTATTCTCCAAATCAGTTTAGAGGGTTCCATCATGCTTTTAAAAAGTACATGGAGGCTGTCAAGAGTTTAGTTAATTCTAACTTAATCCACAGAATTCCTGAGTGGAAGGAGAATTACATGGAAATGATAAACTGACAAGCTTAAACACTATGAGTTTGGGGCACCAGGTTGCAAGTGTTAAACAATAAAGAATATGCCCTGGTCAAAGCTGGTAAAGGGCCTGAAGAATCAATCGTTCTATCTAAGGCGGCTTGAATAGTGGAGGCCAGTGCTCTGGCGACTCCATCTCCTGGCTGCACAGCCTGCCTGGCCTCGCCTGCTGGAGCGCCGATCCAGTCTCCCGACCTTGAGATGCCTTGGACTTCTTCTCTAGCAATCCATTTCAATTTAGTTCCCAGGCTTCCCCTCAAACGGAGCTCACCTGTCACCTGCCCCACTAAGCTTCCCTGCCAGGAGCTCCCCAACCCCCGCCCTACCTGGGATTGTTCTGCAGGTGCAGGGGTGCCGTTTTTGAATGATACATTGCAAGTAGGAAGGTTCCTCCTGTGGGAGCCAGGGGACCGGCCTTGTCACTATCAGGACTTGGCTTTAACTTTCTCACCTCATAGAAGAGGGATTAGAACAGAAAATCTTAGTTCCTTATCTCAACTCTATGCTTTTGTGTGACTATTTCTGATTCTAAATATATAAGCAAACACTGGCTTTTGCTGTTTCCTATTTCTCTTGTCTTTCGATCTTTCCAATCAGATTTTATATCCTTGAGGAAAAGGATCATAAGTTTTTTATGAATTAATTTATTTTGGCCAATTCTGGCTGTGTAATAAATGTTTGTGGAACAAATGAAATATGATACCAATTACCTGGTATTTAGAAATACAAGACTTTCAGCCATATCTGCTTCTAAGGTAGAACTTTGCTTTATTTATCAGTAAAATAATAATTTCATTTCAGTCTGGGTTTTTGCCTCCCGTGAGAAAAAAGTATGCAGGAGCATTTGAGAATAAGGCTGTGCCCTTCAGGTCTTCATGCCCTTCTAAAAATCCTCCAGCGCAACTGAGTAGGTCACAACTCTGCTTAGCATTCTTCCCATATGCACTCATTTTCAGTTTTACTGATCTGATGATCTGACATTTAGCCCATGTGGGTCTCACTGAGAGAACTAACCAATATTCTTAATGGTTGCTTCCAGAGAGCAGAATGCCTACCATTGTTCTATCTTGGATCTTCAAGAGACAGCAGATTCACTCATCAGTTTCTTCTTTATCTGATTATCTTACCCATTATTGAGTCCCCACTTCATTATTGAGTCTCCATTTCTTCCACTCCCTCTGTAATCTACATTAAGATCTTCTCCAAAATACCAAATAATCCTGCAACCTTGTGGGCAGCCTTGCTCTGCCACTAGGCACTCAAATCATGAAACAGGATGCAGCACCTTTAATCTCACCCCCCGGGTCCAGTAGAAACGTGTTTCATAAGGCTGGGGTCTGGGCTGCAGGGTCCCTCCAGCCCCATCCAAGGAGCTGTAAGCACTGAAGTACCAGAACGGTCTTACTTTCAGGGCTCCCCTGGAACGCCTTCCAAGGCACCCATCCTCAGGCGCAAGGTAGAGGCGGCTCCAGCCCACTCCCCACTGACATGCTCTAAATTCTCTGTTAGTTTCCAGGCCTCCCACCTTCAGTTTTGGCCATGAGTTCAGTCACTTGAAATGCCGGTACCAGTCAGGGGGCGGCTGGGGGCTGCCCTAGCGGGCTTGCTCTTTCTTCCTTCTTCAGGGAGCAGTTAGTGGCAGTCAGAGGGCATTTCAACAGAAAATTTTTAAAAAGGGAGGGAACCCCACAGATATGACCTGACCTGCCTCTGGGCAGATCACTGTGCCGCCGAACTGTAGGGCCCAGCAATCCCGCGGCTCTCATCCTGCCCATGTGCTCTGAAGCTCCAGGGGAGCATGTGGAGCCACACCACCTCCACCTGCAGGAGGAACTCTCAGAGGACACACACTGTTCTCACTTTAGGAATTTTCATACACCATCTCTCAAGCCAGGAGAACAGAGGCATACATGAACGGTCAGTATGTGTTACTGACTTGTGTAACTACCAAGAGGTTCCTTTTTTCCCCAGATGCTTAGGGAAGCATTAGCATTTATTTTCCCTTTGTGGTCACATGTACATACACAGACAAATATACATGGAATCCAGTGAAGATTGCTGGATTAAAGACATGAACATAGTATTTTTAAGCATGTGCACTGATTTTTTTATTTTTGTTTGGAAAAAAATAGATTATACAAAATGCCCCAGAACCTCTAAAAGTCAGATGATTGGTTCATTCCCGTGGCAAGGCAGAGGTGGTATTTACAGTCGTTGCAAGCAGCAGAATGGAGATAAGCTCCATTCCTTTGGCTCTCCTTGCTGAAAGCTCCAGTTCAGACAGATCAGAAGTCCCTTGAATCAATTCTACAATGACTGACTAGGAAGGTTACTGATTATCTTTGCAAGACTAGAAGGTTAGGGATGTGAACGTGGTTTGAAGTGTAAACTGCAAAGGTTAAAGCCTTTTTGTAAATCCAACAGTTGAGGATTGTTTTAGGAACTATGCTTAAATGTTTTGAAAAGATGCTCTAAGTGAGGCTGAACATTTTTACCATTTGTCAGTGCATTTCATTATTTAAAATATGTTGTGTTTTAAATGTTGCTAGTGTGTCATTACTGGGAAAACTGGAAACATTTATTGCACGGAGTGGGCAGCGTGACATCCAGTATTTATCTTAAGCCTCCAATGCGAGCTAAAGACTGATAGCTTAAAAGGGCGGATGTTGAAATTTCTTCCTCCTGTGGAGGACAGCTACTCAGAAGGAAATGCTATGGTAATTGGAGGGGTATTTATCTGATTCCATTTCACTAGAAATTTCTTTGTGTCAAAATAATCTTTAATAATACAGAGCATACAGCAAGATGTACCAAAATCATTGTTTCTTTGAAAAGGGCATTGAATCTGAAACAGGAAGTAGTTACACTGGTACAGCTTTAACCAATTAAACACAGAGGAGTTTAAAATGCAGCCAGATTTTTACCATTTTGAATGGACTTTTTGTTCCCTGTTTGCATAATTCCATTCCAATTCATCTGAATTATATTGTAGTCATTTCCTGTTCTGAGTTTTTTTGCTTCAGAAGACATTAGAAATCAAGGTGTTATGAAGGTTTCTGTATGATTAATTTCTTTCCTCACAAACTCCTAAAATGCATTTTTCCCCACCACCAAATAATGGATCTTTATATTATACATTTCAGATATCATTTCATTTAAGTGATAGTATGTAATTTAACATGCTTTTAAAAAATGAAGTATATAGACTAATCAACTTTATTCCATTTTAAACAATTTTCTCTAATGAAAATTCAGAAAATTCAGTCTGGTCAGTCTGTTTTTTCAGTGTTTTGAGTACTTCAAATTAAATTGATGACAAAAATGGATTGTGCTTTCAGTATGTACCTAAAACAAACTCAGATTTCTGATGTTTCAATTAATTCAACTAGTGGATAATTATTTTTTCTATGTTTTGCCACAGATGAATAAAGAAAGAACTGTATAAGGTTAATGAACAGGTTTTATAAATGAGTTTTTTCACCTTTTCTCTTCCTTAATCATAGAGGAACCGAATGTCAAAGATTGTGCATTGTTTGTTGATTTTTGTAAATAGGTGTCTTATTAAGGATTTTGAAAGGCGGCCTTCAGTCACACATCTCCTCCGCCATCCATTTATTAAAGGAGTCCATGGGAACGCTTTGTTTCTGCAAAAACAGCTGGCTGAGGTTCTTCAAGACCAGAAGCGTCTAAACCCTGCTGTTAAAACCAGGTATGGAGCTCAGCACCATCCTGCTGCTTCTCTCATTATTTATAAAAATGGCATGTCATGTATTTTGATTTGCCCAGCATTTATTACTGGTAATTATCACATCTCTGCATTTTTGAGATTTCATTTACATAATGTTACATGCTTCCTGCTCTGTGGATGTGATCAGGAGAGCTTCAGAAACAAGCTGTGGGTTTCGCCCTTGTGGCTCATTTCCTGTAACCGTGGATGAGGTCTCACTCTGCCCTTGTGTTCTAGTTAAAAGCCAACTCATATATATTTATATTTAATATAAATGTGAATTTTTTTAAACAAATGCAGATAACTCTATGAAAACAGCCATGACTGATATTCTGTGAGATTTTTACTTGGCTGTTATGGACTAATGAGTAAAAATGTAGGCTTAAAGTGATTTTGGAAAGATTACAAGTTAAACACTGGAGACTTTCTCTTATGTGCTCTGAGATCATTTTCTTTAGTGAAAAATTCCTTAGAGGCAATTTTGTATTTTTAATTGTTTTTTTCCCCTCAGATAATGTCTATGCTATCTAACGAACTGTGACTTTTCCCTTCCCTGTTTTAAAGGGTAGATTTTTAAAAATAAATGTTTATTTTCAGAGGCAGTTGCTTAAAACAGTATTCCATGGTGGTCTCTAAGAAATAGATCTTTGGTGTCTGTCCAGAGGGTGGCAGAATTTTCCCTTTAAAAAAAATGTAAATACAAATAGACCTGCTTCCTCAGCTCAGCAATTATTTGGCTTTATAAAACTGGCCATGAGGCAGATAAGCTCTAATCCATTATTATTAAAAGAACGTTTGAAGGACTAGGGGTGAAGAAAATAAAATATCACAAGTCACAAGTTCTGGAAATATTCCTGTATTCTGCAGAAAGCTGTTTACAAATCAAAAAACATCAGAACTCCTGGGGCTGGAGACCAGTTTCAAGGAGACTGTATCTTAACACCTCCCCAACCCCCAACCAGGTTCCCTTTCGGATAATAAAACATACTTTTTCCTACTCTCTTCCCTTTACCACTGCCATTTCTGTGGGGTGGAAAATTAGAGAAATTCTTGTGACTTTGGTGTCTTTTCGAAGCAATAGAATTTGTGTTTAAGTCCCAGGGAACTGAAAGCCCTTTTCTTCCCTGCTTTTGTGTCTGTACATCAGCCACTGCCCACAAGTCACCTATCTGCACACACACCCACACACAGCACCACCACCAAAAAGGAAGATGAACTTAAATTAAATTAAATTAAATTAAATTAAATTTACCTCCCGCCCCCAACCAGGAAAACCAAACCCAGCATTCAAATGCTCTGTCAGATTGGCACGTCCTTGTCTCTCTGTGCTGAAGTCTGCTGCAGAACATGTTCTGAGACAGTTTGCAAAGTTATACAGCTTTTCACATTTGCCTGACTTTGCCTGTCTAGATGTATATGCTCTTTTTAAAGACTTTTCTCCTTTTACCATAGAAAATCAGACTCCAGTCTCTCACCCACTTTCTGTGATTTCTCTTTATCTTTGTTAAAGTCCTTTGATGTGAAAAGCCTCATATGGTTGCAAAGACTTCTTACAGAGTCTTTGTAATCTGCAGTTTTAACCAGGAGTTTGTTTTTCTTTGAACAGTCATTTTAAAAAATTACAACCTCACAAACAGGTATCAAAACTTTAAACAGCCACGTCCTCAGGAGGTAGAAAGATTAATTCTAAAGGAAACACAATGTATGTAATTGACACTTAATTTGTCACCAATCCCCCACTACTAAATAGGCAACTGGCAAGGAGTTTGTTATATAGGTGTTTTTGAGCCCACCTGAAAAAACTCTCCAAAAATCATTTGATGTGGGTAATTCAATATATTTAAAGTTGTGAGTTTCCAGGGTAAGGTGGAAAAAACAAAAATTGAGATGATGACATAGACAAGTGACACAAATACCCAACTTATCACTTTTCTGCCCAAATTTGGTCACACAGCAGACAGTACAATGGTTAAGTAGTGGTTAAAACTGACTCTGTCAGGTTTGAATCCCAGCTCAGCCACTTATATTAAATTTTTCTATTCCAAAGTGTCTTCATCTACAAAATGTGGATTATTTTCAGGGTTAAGTGAGTCAATGCCTAAAAAAATATTTCAAATAGTGCTTGATAGAGTTAACCCTCCATCAAGGGTTAACTCTATCCCTCAATCAATGCTACCATAGTAGAAGTAGTACACATGGTCTATTTAATTCAGAGTCCTTCATTAAAAAATAAATAACTACTTTTTGGCCTTAATCTGTGCAAATTCATCTCTATTTACTTACTATTATGAAAAAGAAACAATATTGAGGTACTGAATGTTAAAAATGTCAATTGTTATCTCATTTAAAATCTAACATTCATTTCTTAATTAAAGAGACATTTATGTGTGTGTACGTGTCAGGCCCTATGCTGCACAGAGGGACTCCAAAGGCAGATCAGACACAGTTCCTGATAGAGAGCAAATAGCCCCTTGGGTGAGACAGATGGGAACAGAGGAGGATGAAAAACTCCTGGGCCAGAGGGGTGCCTGGGGAGAGAAGGCCCTGGGGCTGGTGGGGAGATGACCCTTGACCTGTCCTGAGGAACAAATAGAAGAGAGTCAGGGAAGGGGGTTCTTCTAGGTGGAAGGAAAAGATGAGCAATGAGCACAGGGCAAAGGACCAAAGCTAGAGAGCTTAGGGAACCTGGCAAACAGTTAATTGGCATTGCTGGGTCTGGGCATGGGAGAGGTGGAGGGAGACAAAGGCAGGCAGGGGCAGGTCCTGATGGGCTGACAAGCATGGGCTTGTGTTTAGGCACTCGGGAGCCACAGAAGGGCGTCAAGCAGGGATGTGCTCCAGAAAGGTCATTCTGATTGCAGTGTGGACAATGGAATGGAGCTGGGCAAGGCTGGAGCCAGGAGGGACACATGAGCAGATTGTGGCAATTGCGAATAAGAGAAGTTGATAAAATAATGGTATTGTCAGGACCTAGTGGTAGATTGGATGAGAGAGATTGGGGAAAGAGGGAAGTGCTTCAGGGTCTACCCAAATTGGGCTACCTTCCTGCCCTGGTTCAGACTGTAATCAAACAGAAATTGTAGGACACTAGGAGACAGAGACCAGTAAAAAGCCCTGTCTTCCTCCTTATATCCTATCTGAAAGGCCAAGTACTTCAGGTATCACACAAAGCTTCAGCTTTCTGCCCAACGTAGTGTCCACTGGTGGTCCAAACAGTCCTGGGCTTCCCAGCTGGAAAGACTTGTTTAGTTTTGAGAGCTCATGCAGAGAAGACATGAGACCTACAGCCTACAGGGAGAACTAACTGTTCCTGCAAAGGCTGGGAATACTTCATCCACCTTAGGACCTCCCCCAGGAGAGAAAGAAGCTGGTAGCTTGAAGGCGCTGCAGGGAAGAAGGCAGGTTCTTTAAAGGTGGGGAAAACTTGGAGTGATGAAGGGAAGGATCTCATATAGAGGGAGACATGGAAAATGATGAGAAAGAAGGTAATAGAGGAAGCAAAGAGAGTGGAAACAAGGGCCTATGAGGAAGGTTGACCTTAGAAAGAACATCTACATTGGGAAAGACACAGAAAGGTTAGATGAATAAGTCCGGAAAATTTGAGGGATGTGGTTGGGTTGGGGGGAGAGTGTGCAGAGGAGGTGCCATGAGGAAATTCACATTGAATGCCTTTATTTTTCCAAAAACTAAGCAAGCTTGTGTCAGAGTTGGGAGTGGGATATGGACTCAGGAAGGTATTAAATCTTTGAAATTGCCGCTATGAGAAATATGATAAAGGGTTCATTAAAGATGGACATATGCTTGCACAATAGCACAGAAAACCCAGGTGGAACTTAACTGACTAGTATTCTATTGTAGTGAAATTAATTAATGCTTAAGATAATGCACGCAGAGCATGCAGAAGAAGCAGCTGGCTGCAGACTGGATTGGATAGACACGATGGGTGGGCAAGGGGCGACAGAATTAAGGTAAGGAGGAGAGTGTCCTTGGCATACTTTTGGAGTATGGAAGAAAGTGAAGCCAGAAGTGGTTCACTGAGGTTGAGGCTGGGTCTGGGTGGGGGAACTGGCAGTCACAATGAAGACAAAGAGCGGATTCAGTTAGAGGATGGTGAGAAAAGGGATTGTGAGCTGGGATCTTGGGAACTTCTGAGAGATAATTGGGAACTAGTGATGGCTGAACTTCTAGATAAATTAAGTGGAGTAGAAATAGATGTTTCTAAAGAGTCGACAAGTTGAGGAACCCTAAGATCAGAATGTGAGAAGAATTAATGAAGTGATTGGTGGGGGATGGAAAAACCAAAGACTGATATCAAGGAAGGGACTAGAGAGAAAGGGAAGTGGGGGTCAGGTGCTGGTAAAGAGAACACACAAGGACATGCGAGATTGTTAAAAGGGAGAGATTGGTTAGGGAGAACTATGTCTGGGAAAAGGCAGAGGGGGCAGGGAGGAGATGCCCATTTCCCCTGCCCTCTCTCCATGAGTGGATGGAAGCTGAGCTAGGGCGACAGTGGCAGGGAAGTGCTCCATTTCCATTACGTTCAGGAGGTAAATGTGTACTCGAGACCCCTTCCAGTGCTAATCTTGGCGGGAGGGAAGGGGTCTGACCCTGAGTGTGGAGGAGTGGAAGTAGAGGCGGCCTTCACAATGGTCCTGACTGTCTAAAAGACCATTAGGCCTCTCTGAGTGCAGAGTTTAACCTCACTTGCACATCCCCTGTAATTATTAAGGTAAAACATTTCGTTTTCTTCTGATCCTCGAGTTATGGTTCAGAAGGCCTCCTTCTCACACTTTGTTCTTCATCATAGTTGAGGGTGAGGAAAAGAATGCATCCTGCCACAGCTATGTGAAGCTCCTGCAGCCCTGTTTCAATCTGCCTACATGGGTATCTCTGCTGCCATAGGCATGGTTTCCAGACACGAAGAGGCTGAGGAACCAAGGAGTCACTTTTGGACAAAATATACATTTGTAAATACCATTCACAGGGCCAGTAATTCAAACAAGGAAGTCTATGGGCCTGGTAATGAAGTATGAAAAAGCACTCACATGAAAATGGTTTTAACAATAATGTGCAGTCATAGAGATTAAACTATAGTGAAAGCAGCAGCACTTTAGGAATTTATTCCATGAGAAGAATTTCCCAGTGTCTGAATGAGTTTGGGTAGTTCCTTTCCATTCATGAGCTTAACCTAAGACATTCCAAAATACCTCCCCATTCTCTGCTTCATCTGTGCCCACTGCTGTGTCAGAGGGACTTCCGGCCTCTGGCTCTGCCTCACCCACTCTTCGGATACAGGCCTTACTCTCCACCTGTTTCCTTGGACTTGGCATTTCAGACTTGCTCTTGCTCCTACCTGTAGTTCTGAGTTGAAGGGGGTTTCGGCTCCAGGCAAGTTCACTCTGGATTCGGTGAGACTGAAAAATGACAATGGAATGTTGGGGGGTAAGAAGGAGCTTATACCAAGCTTTGTTCCCACGGTGGCAGGTCAAGCACTACAATCTCATCTGCTTCTGGGGCAGTCTGCAAGTACCAAGTCTGACTCAGGTGCTGCCTCCTCCAGGCCCTGCTCTCACCTCCAGCCTCTGCTCTCCTCTGCCCTAGTGCCAGGCAGAGCTCTTTTTATAGCAACACAAGCAAATAATGACTTATCGCCAATGGGTATGCAAGCATGTGCCTGCAGAGTAGGCTAAGTATGACATCATTGCACATACACAGTGGACAGTAGATTAGGATCAGGTAAGGATCCTGGCTGTGGAACTTCCATTTTCCCTGCACCACCTTACATGAGCCAGGGATGCAGACACCATATCCCCCTTTTCCTGATCCCTGAAGAACTAAGGTGACAACTATTTACCAAGCCCCCACCCACCAACCACCACACACCCCAAACTCTAAAAACAAGTCCAAGCCAAAGCTTTGACTTTCTTCTTCTCTAAGCTTTAACCCCCAAAACTCCATTTATATGGGAAGCCAGGCTTGGCAGCCAATATACTTAAAGCCTCATAAAAACAAACAGGGAACTAGCAAAAAGCAATATGTACTTTGTTGGAATTTGAAAATGTCTTCTGAGTCATTAAAGCTATAATACTTTAACATGTACTCTTGATTTTCAGAATGCCTTTTGTTATTTATCCATATATTTATCTATCTCTCCACTCCTCTGAGCTTTGGAATATTCAATGCATTTACCTTTTAGTTGAAAATCTGTAATTTTCACATTAAATAAGGAATTCTTCAGCAAAAATTGTTAGTAGATGCTATTCTCAAGTAAAGCACTAGGTGGAGCATGTGAATTTAAAGGAAATTTTAGTTCGCAGTTACTAGTGACAATGAATCATTTAACTCAGGGAAACTAAAAAATTTAAACCAAATTTATTTTGACTAATCTCAGTGAAAATAGACAAATATAAGCAACATAACACTCTTTATAAATATATGTAAAGTCTAGGATAATTAAAAAAAACAAAGTTAGAATAATTTTTTTCTCTTTGGTAGGCCCTCCACCCCCATGGCCAAAGCAGAAAGGAAGAAGAACCCTAGTTGGGGAACGCAGAGACAGGGCCAGCAAATATTTTTTCCACTGGTTGAGAAAATGAAGTGCTCTTTCTCAGAGTGGAAATACTTGTATGAACATCACCTTCTAGAATGCCAGCTTCAATTCTGGGGAAAGTAAGTCTAAGGAATTTGATCACCTGTAAGCATGGGGAGAGGTCATACAATGCCTGTAACAGCAGATAAAACCTCTTAAAATCATTTGTTGTTTACAAAATATTTTAGAGGGAAATTTTTTTATGAGAATTAAGCTGGGATTTGCAGAGAGCACCTCCATGATTCCTGGAGGTTAAATCTGTGTGAGAGAGAGATACATGGGCATAAAATAGTCTGCTGCAGAGCTCAAAAAAATTTCAATCCTGGTGGTATTGTATTGTACATGTTCATTCTGGAAGTCACAACTTTCTACTAGAGTTTATTTGTCATATTGCAAGTAAGGTTTTATCAGTGCTCCCATTTTTGGTTGGTAGTAAAAATGTCATCCAACATGACGCTTGACACATTTAAATACAGTTAAAGCTCCTTTATGTCCAGGTCAGGAATTACTGGAGGAAAAAAAATATCCCTGGGGAACTTGCACTGATTCAGGAGTATTTTGAATTCTGGTATTCCCAATCTGCTTGTTTCCATTTACTTCTCAGAGTCCCATGCGTTTTGGCCAGGGAGACAGAGTGAAGTAGAGAGAGCTTACTACATCTTGACTGGAACTAAATCAGTGGATGATTTTTTTTTTTAATTTCTGACTTTGTCAAAAGATGTGTAAATTAACTCTAATTTAGCCTATTTCATACATTGCAAGATAGGGATTTAAGAAGCAGACAAACGAACTGATATGTTAGAACCAGATGAGTAAACTCTTTGTTTAATAATTTTTAAAATCCTTAGGTTATAAATTTGATTTGATTAAGCAAAATTAAGTTTTATCTATTTTGGACCTTTATTTGAATTAGCAGCAAAAATGGTTCTAGCATACCATGCTTCAAATGCACCTTCTTCAAATCTATCAGCGATATGGAGATTGGGAAGTAAAATTTAGTACATAGGCAGAGAAAAAAAGCCAGTATGTTCTTTGCCCATTTCCATTGTATTATAAACTCGAGACTCAACATGCAGAGCTGTTAAATTTGCCCCTTCATTTTTACCAACTTTTGTGAAATGTGTGTAGCAAAGGTTAGCATGCATATCAGGATGTCATTACTCCAACATGGTAATTACAGCAAAACATTCAGTAAATCCAACTTTTGGGACCTGACAAGGTAAAGCTGTAACCTTTAAAGCTGTAGTGATGATGAGCATAACAGGTGAAAGGGAAGAACCGTGCAGTATTTCTTCTTTGATTCTGAATTTACAATACATGGAAAGGCATTTTACATGTGATTTCATCTAGTTAATGGTATTTTGAGTAATGTGTGAAGTTGTACACATTGTTGATTCCAGATTTTGGCAAGGTTGTAAATGTACTTGGTACATTTTTTCAACTCCTTTGCATTTTTATATCCATGACTACATTGCTTTCAAGGCTCCCTGTGAGATAGACAGACTGGTCATGAGTGATTCTAACTATGAATGAAGAAGACTGAGATACTGGATATTAATGATTTGCTGAGTGGCCCACACCACATTACTCCCAACCCTGAAATTAGGATCCAGAGCTCTTAACTTCTAGGCTAATGCTTTCCTCTTGAACCACACTGAGTAGTGATGTTTATGAAGGAAATGTGGGAAGGCCGACTCTGACCTTGAGTTAATTTTATGCCCTTAAAAAACTATATTTTGGTATACCAAAGAGGATTGGAATAGATTGCCAGCCAAGTTTTTTAAATGACTATGGAGAAATATACCCCAAGAGAAAAATCTCACATATAGGATACATATAAAGATCTTAAGTGCTGCTTTGTTTCTGGGAGCAAAAAACTGGAATCAGCTAAATGCTGATCAACATAGGACTGGGGTAAATAAATTGGTACATTTTCCTATGATGTAATATTTTCTAATGATGAAAGTAATATGTATGTATATATAAATATGTACACATATACTTTAAATATAATGTTGAGTGCAAAATGTAGAATGAAACCTACAGTATGACATCATTTTTATAATTAACATAAAGAATGTATATTATTCAATGCATGATCAGTGTTTACTGGTTCATTGATATTAGCTATATTGTTCTCTGAAATTTTCTATAGCTTAAAAATTTCCCAAAAAGTCGGGGGGTGGTGCTGGTGGAGAGCATGAGGGGACCTCAAGAGAACTGCCCCAGTGAAAACTAAATGCCTGGCACTGAGCAGAAAAAATGTGAGGAGATGTTTATTTCTGGAAGTGCTGCAGTTGGCATTCAAGAAAAATGAGTATAAGTCTTAGATGGGCCCATTTGACAGTGCTCCTTGCTGTGATGGCTGGGAGGCTTCAACCTGGCACTCAGCTTACTCATAGCAGTGGCCCTACAGCAGCAGGGGGAGAGCCCCACAGCTTGGGGGCTGGACTGGACCTGCTTTTCCTGTCTGTCTCTGAAGTGTTTGAACATGTCATGTCATAAGACTATGAATGAGCCATTTTCATTTTCTACTTGATCATCTTAATGCTAATAGTCTCCGGATAAATTTCTAGGTATGAAAGAATGCAAACCAGAAGAACCTATCATGTGCAAGATGCTGAAAAATACTGCCTTGAGGATGATTTGGTCAATCTAGAGGTTTTGGATGAGGTACTAAATATTTAGTAAACAGTTCTCACCGATGACATTTGCTTCATGTGAATTATCTGAACTTTCACTCGTACACCATATTTTCCTAAGGTCACTTGAAAACTTCATTACTTGTATAGCCTTTGGGTGAAGCTCAGGAAACTTTCAGTTGCTGTGACTATGACCCTGTGCTTTGTTCATTTATAGTCCCCAAAATGTCCTAAATGATGACAAGAAAAGGATTTAGATTTTTCTAATAAAGCCCTTCATATTGTAAGCTTGGATGATCTATATTATATCAGTGGAAATTCTGTTTTAAAAAAATGCAATTTAACCCCTAAATTAAGATGTTTGTTCTTCACAGAGAGGTGCTTCATTTAGGGAAATAGTGAAGTTAATACAGCTTTAATTCTAAATTTGAAAACTGTGATGATCCCCATTTAAAATATGCATGTTTCATAGAGCTGTTAATTGCACTGGACCCATTTCTGCTGATTCTAACTCTGGGGACCCATAACTGCAATCCATGAGTCACTAAACTGTAATATAAAAGTGTTCGATTTTCTATGCCCACTACATACATTTTAAATGCATTGTTTTGGGAAATGAAGTTACTATTTTGTTTGTACTTTAGCAATAGGAACAGCCTATTAATTCAAATTTTAAGTAAAACATTTTGATTGGATGAAACAAGTTTTTTTATAATAAAAAATAAAACCTGTGTTGGATATTTCAGTGTCTCTTAACAAATGATAAGTGGGTCTGTTTCTTACAGCATATACCTGTTTTTTTCTTCTTTCAAGGCAATTATTTGCATTTAGGATCATTAGGGTTTGTATTATTTACATCACCTGCTTTCATCTTTTAGAGAAAAATATTCTTGCAAGAATAAATGTGTTGTTACTCTTAGAACTCTCCCTTAATTGGAAATCATGTTTACTTTCAATACCATTTGCCCTCTCCTTAGGATACAATTGTTCATCACTTGCAGAAGCGTTATGTGGACTTGCTGATTTACACATATGTTGGAGACATCTTAATTGCCTTAAACCCTTTCCAGAATCTAAGTATATACTCTCCACAGGTAAGGGATGCCTTAAGAGCATGTTGCTCCTTAATAGGAAATGAGAAATCACAAGGGAAAATGAAAAGAAAGAAAAAGTGAGAATAAAATTATGCCACCCTCAGGGTGTGTACCCTGAGCTGCAGATAATTAACACAGATGAAATGATCACATTTGGGGAGTAACTTTAAATCAAGATGTAACAGCAGTTACTAACATTCATTTTAGTGCTTGCTGCATGCCAGGCACTGGGTCACCTCCCCTTTTTCTCCCAACCCTGTGAGACAGGCACTATTACTGAACCTACTTGGCAGACAAGGACACTTACTGAAGTTAACTCCCTTGCACAAGTTAACTTCAAGAGAACTGCCCAAGTGAAAACTAGATGCCTGGCACTGAGCAGAAAAAATGTGAGGAGATGTTTATTTCTCATTCCAGTAAGCAAAGAACTGGAATTTGAACTCAGGTGTTTAGACTCCAGGGTCTGGGGCCACACAGCCCTTCTGATGACACAGTATCCCTAATACGTGACAGAGCCTTAGTTTCATGGGCTACAGGCAAGGACGCCTTAGAAGGTCTGGCGGAGCTTTAAAAGTTCCTTTTAATTTTAATTATTTTCTCTTCAGTTTTCCAGACTTTATCATGGGGTGAAACGTGCCTCAAACCCCCCCCACATATTTGCATCAGCAGATGCTGCTTACCAATGCATGGTTACCTTCAGCAAAGACCAGGTGAGAACTTACCTTCCTGTCTCACCATGTCACAGAGCAGGATGTGTCTGTCTTCCTATGCACCTTTTCAGTCTTCCTGAAGGCTTTCCCTTCTGATTGCTAGTGCTGCACCAAGGAAATAGGAAATACAATAGTAGCTCAGTGGAACAAGAACAGAGATAGAAACAGAGTAGCAGGAAAATGTGAAAACCCTTTTCAGAAACATGAAACATTCACATTAAGAGCACTTATTTTCCCCAATAAAATGTACTAAGAGTATTTCTAATATGAATATGAGAACATAGAGCCAACACAAACCTGATTACATGGAAATGATTGTAACAAAAACAGGATGTAGGATGATATAAATGAAGTACCATCCTATTAAGTTCTCAGAATTTTTATGGCCCAGTCCTTTTTTAATGATATACTGTCATGTTGAAATATGAAATACACAGGTTGACAGTGATCAGCCACCACACCGTTTAAGCTGCTGAAAAATTGTGATGGATTGGGTAAAGGTGGAACAAATCTTAAACTCAATGCTAGTTAAACATAAAGCTCACCCACACATTTTAACTTAGTGTTTTTACTCACAGTGGTGACATCCATCCTTTGACCCTTCCTTTATCTTTCAATATGTATATTTTCTTTTGTCTCTTTATTCTGTTTGAAATAGAAATAATCTAATTTGATGAGAATATTTTCTGGTATATCTGTACAATGGAGCACAAGCTGCTTATGAAAGAATTATTATGTGAAAATTCCTGAGACCCACAAAGTCCTAGCTTTGGGGTTGTTGAGGAACAGGGGAAATTTTAACAGTGCAAGTTACAATATAGAATACATGTATGTGCTACAGGTCAGAAATTTGGCTTGTCCAAATTTTACCTTTCCCAGAGATTTGTTAAATGTCTATACATTCCATAGAGAGGAAGTAAATGGACAGAGATAAATGTGTTTCTCAAGTTATAAAGATGCCACACTGTGGTATCTTTTTTTCTGACAGCACTACTGATATCAAATGTTGTATCTTTTCCAACACCAACCAGTTCTCCACTTCTCTGACAGCAACTCGATGTACAACACTTCAGTTCCATTCAATTTTGACACTACCTATTTGGAGTTAGCACACACCCCACAGGTTCAGACTCAGTCCCATAGTCTACCCCTACTTCAGACACCAGCTGCAAATGGTGTGTCTACATTTTTGCCCACCTTACAGATTCCTACAACCCCACTTAGGTTTGATAACTCACTAGAACAACTCACAGAACTCAGGAAAACACCTCACTTACATTTAGAATAAATAATACAACTCAGGAACAACCAAATGCAAGAGTCGCATAGGGCAAGAAATGGGTGGGGGTGGTGCACAGTGTCCATGCCTTCTCGGGACATACCCTGTCCTTGTACCTCAACATGCTCACACCAGAAGCTCTCTGAATCTCGTTGTTCAAGAGTTTTTATGATTCAATCAGTCTCTAGCCCCTCTCTCCTTCCTAGAAGTTGGGATGGTGGGGCTAAAAGTTCCCACCCTCTACTCATGTGGTTGGTCTTTCTGCTGAGGAGCCTCCATCGTCCTCTACCTGAAACCATCAGGCAGCATTTAGTTAGGTTTGGTTGAAAGGCACTTGCTTGTGAGTAACAAAAGATGCTCCTATCACTCCCAACATTCAGGAAACTCCAAGGCTTTTAGGAGCTCCATGACGGGAAACAGAGACAAAGACCAAAAATGTGTTTTATTATATTGAACCCACTAATCTCCTTTATACACAAAGAGCTCCTAGAAAGGAATGATAAAAAGATCAATAGTACAAAATAATTAGGTAAAGGTATGTACTGGTCACAAAAAAAAAAATATGAATGACCTTAAACATACAAAAAGATAACTAAACTCCACTCAGAATAAAAGAAATGCAAATTAAAACTACACTGAGATACTACATTTTGCCTATCAGATGAGCAAAAATTCAACATACCCTATTAATAAGGTTGTAGGAGAACAGGTATTTTCATACATTGGTATAGTCCTTAGGAAAGCAGTTTGGCAGTACATATCAAATTTGCAAATGTATTTACTTTTTGGTCCAACAATCCATTTACAAGAATTTATTCTACAGATGAGCCTGCATATAAATATAATGACCAGTGTATAGGATTATTCATTGCAGTATTGTTTGTAATAACATAAGGAAAAAACTCAAATATCCATCAATATGGGACTGGTTAAATAGACTCTGGTATATCTGTGCAATGGAGCACAAGCAGCTGTGAAAAGGTCAGAGAAACTCTTAGGTTATGAAATGGACAGATTCTTAAGATACAGTGTTTAGTGAAAACTTAAGGTGTACAGTGGTTGATGTAATATGAAATCATGGCTTAACATGCAGGTTGTTCACTGTGCTATGAGTTCTTCACTGTCCCCCATTTTCTGTGTCAGTGCATTGTCATCAGTGGAGAGAGCGGCTCTGGGAAGACAGAAAGCACCCACCTGATTGTTCAGCATTTGACTTTCTTGGGAAAGGTATGACCACCCAGTTTACGTATTGTGACTCGAAGTCCCTGCAGAGTGACTGCATATGCTAGAAATGATGGACTAGTGGTTTTTACTAGGGGTCTCCTAAAAACTTACTGTCTTTATTGTGCTTGTCTCCTGATAGTTAAGCCTCTTGAGGAGTCAGCAGGCCATCCTTCTTTCACATAGTGAGGAAAATAATGCCAGCATGAATTTACTAGATTATCAGCAAATAATGTTTCATGTTTTTGAACTAATAGAAACATTTAGCCATTAAGTAGTGAAAGTGGTTAAACACTAAGAACATGATCAGGGAGAGTCAGTAAGGTAATTAAAGGACTGGAAAATAGAAATGTCTGAGCAAAAGTTGAGGGAAACAGAAATTTCCAGCTTGGTGAAATGGACATTGGAGGAATGATTTTACAATTGGTCTAGCAGTTACTTACCCTCCAAGTTACTGCAGTAACACTAAGAAAAAAACAATAATTTTTAGTGATGAGATTTATTGAATACTATAATGAATGATTGAAAAATGTTAGAGAATCTCTCTAGTTAAAAATTCTTTCTAAACTGCTTAGGCATTTATTTGTCAAGGATTTTAAGTAAATTGTGGCCGTGACCTAATCTAGCTTCATCTGATGCCTATGCACCTGGCCTGTTGCTTATCTGAGAAAACAATGCTGGAAGTAGATGTTAATTTCCCCAAATGGAGCTCTTCCTAAAAGAATAATATGAATTTTGTGGGTAGGGCAGGATGCCTGGCAACTTTGCTAGAGTAATGTTTCTGGAAGCTCCTCTTGATTGTTGTCTGTTTGGTACAGGCCAATAATCAGACCTTGAGGGAGAAAATTCTGCAAGTCAACTCCCTGGTGGAAGCCTTTGGAAACGCATGCACTGCCATCAATGACAACTCCAGCCGTTTTGGAAAATACCTGGAAATGATGTTTACACCAACTGGAGCTGTGATGGGAGCAAGAATCTCTGAATATCTTCTTGAAAAATCCAGAGTCATAAAACAGGCAGTGTAGGTGCACTACTTCATCACTGTTTGCTCTGCAGTATAGACCAAGAGGCTCTGGAAATTTTCATGGCTCCATTCTCACCCTTTTTCTTAGCAATCTGTGCCCCACCCTCTGCCTTCCCAGGAGCAAGGAATTATTTAAGCAAAGGATGTGTGGAAGTTTCCAACCTAAAAATGTTTGCAGGAAGATCACATAGGGCTGGGATGGGAGTACTCTGGGACCAGTGTGTCTATTTCTTCTGAGTTGGTTTTATCAGGTAGAATTTAGTAACATTGCAAATACTTGTAAAAACCATTAAGTCTCTTAAATTGAATCTGTTTACAGAGGAAAAGCACTAAAGATATTCCACATGCTGATTTTTTCCCCCTAGATTAAAAGATTAGTGCTTACTCATGGGCTTGCTGTGAAGACTAATGAGTTCATTTATATAAAATTACTTTTAAAATTACCTGGTATGGCACATGTTATCAGAGGACTAGCTATACTATTATTATTATTACTGTTGCAGAGAAAAATTCATCAGGAGCATGACTCCATTCATGCACTGTTCAGTAGTTATCTATCAGAGGTTTACTGTATGCTAGTGTCACACTCCCTACCTGCTGGAGCTGCAAGAGTAAACAAAATAAACAAAATACACAAGGTTCCAGCCTTCAAGGGGCCTGGAGTGGATGGGAGGTGGGGAAGCCCAAGGGGAGGGTCACCAGCATTAAACTAATGAATAAAATTAAGTACAGAACCACCGTGGTAAGTCCAGGAAGCAAAGCATGGTGCTATGAAGGTAAAACAGGAGAAGGAAGACCACATGTCCTTGTCCAAGGGGGGCACTCCCTGTGTGGGAGACAGCTACTGTAGGGCCTGAGGGTCATTAAGAGTTAGCCAATGAGGTGGGGACAGGAATGGGATGGGAGAGGGGAGAAAAGGTGAGACAGACCCGATTATTCAGGGCTTTTCCAAAGCTGAGAATTCTGAGCCTTGTTCTAAAGGCAGCAAGAAGCCCTTGAATGTTTTCAAGCAGGGGAGTTACGAACCCAACCTGCATTTTGAAGTGATCTCTCTGGCTTCAGTGGGGTGAACAGACTGGAGAACAGGCAGGAAAGATCGTGTTGAGACCATTCGGAAGCTGTTGTTGAATCCATGTGAGAGAGAATGTTGGCCTGGACTAAGGTAGTGGAGACGGAGGTGAAGAGTTGATGGATCTGAGAGATACTGTGCAAGAAGAATCCAGGCCCTGTTCAGGTTAAGAACCTGAGCATCTCCTGCTATCAGATGCTTGCAGTTTCCCCACAGTATAGGGCTAGTATGAAAAATAAAACAAATTTTAAAAAAAAGAGTGGAGTCATATTAGTTTCCCTGTGGCTTCTTGATTAATTTTAATGAGGTTTCTTGCTTCTTTCTCCCAAAATTAGGATGATTTTAAAGTTTAGGAACCTACCTTTGACAGAATGGAAAATACAGCTTTCTGGTTTCAAATGTAAAGTGGTCTTTTACAAAAATAATGTGAGGAGGGTTCTAATTGCAGTTATGTCACTTGATATAAATATCCTTATGTCTTAGTTTCCCCACATGCAAAAAGGGCATAATAACGTTAGTCTCATGGGGCTATTATGAGAATTGAATGAGATGATATGTAATTCCACCAAATGTAGAAGTTGAACATAATAGGTACCTAATATACCATAACATTATTATTATTAAATTTATTCAAAATATTAACACTGATGAGGTAAAATAGACTGAAAACATTGGACGAGAAGAATGTGGGGTCTGTGCAAGTCCTGTTCATCTAACCTTTCTAACCTCAGTCTGTCTCTCCCCAGACACATAGTAGGATTCCCATTTTTGATGCCCTGTGGCTGGATGTGCCCATATGACCAGTTCTGGCAAATGAACATTTAATGGCTAATCCTTCAGAGTCTCTGGCAAAGTGCAAGATGGTGGACACTCCATCATCCTGGCCCTTTTGTGCCTTTGATGAGCATAAACACCCCGGCCCCTTGCTGGCCTTCAATGGACATGTACTCAGAACAGTAAGGAACACTTCATTGAGTTAAGCCACTAAGATCTTGGGATGTTCATTATTGCAACAAAACCTAGCCAAACTTGGTAGTTACAGGGATGAAAATCAAACTGGATTTATGCTAGGATAGATGTTAGTAGGCAAAGCTTGGAAGAATTGAGAACCAGAGGTGTTGGCAAAAAAACTACAGGAAGGTAAGACCAAAATGGGTCAGCCAAAGCCTGCACAAGTGACGTTCATTCCAGGCATACTTATTCATAAAGCCCTGCAAGGGCTGCCCTATCTCAGTGAATGGTGCTACCAGCACCAGACACTCAAATCAGAAACCTCAGAGGCGGGCTCCAGCTCCCTTTCCCTCCCCACCCTCATTCATTTCTCTCAGTTGTTCTTCCAAAATGGGCCGTGAAGCTTACTCTTTTCCATCATCACAGCCATTACCCTATCCAGGCCACTTGCTCTCCCCACTGGCCGTCTGATTGGTCTCCCTGCATTCATCTGGGCTTCTTACGATTCGATCTTCACCCTGTGGCTGCAGTGCACTTTTCTTAACACACATCTACTCATGTTCTACACTTACAGTGCACCCTGGCTCCAGTTTAAAACACAGAACACCAGTTGCTTAATCAACAAAATCCTCTTTACGGCCTAACAGGGCCTTGTGTGGGCTGGCCCCGGCTGCCCGCCCACCGCCTTCTCGCTAGCATCATGCTCAGGGCCTCTGCTGCCTTTCTTTGGGATGTCTTCCCCTTCCCATGCTGCAGTGTTTGGCTTAAGGGTTATTTCCTCAGAGTACTTCCCCTGACTTGACACAACTAACTTTCATCCCCTGGCATTATTCTTCATCTCAGCCCCTTGTTTGTTTCTTTCAAAACCCTCATCCCACATCTCCTTGCTGCTCCTTTAAGCCCCTCACTAGGAGAGAAGTTCCAGAGGGCATGACTCCTCTTAGCCCTGTATCCCTGAACCTGGTGCAGTGCCTGCCATGACTGGCATTTGATGACATTATCAGTTGAGGGAACAAATGAGCGAGAAATGGCAAGGAGCGGCAGGACGAGAATACAGGGCATGACAAAGCTGCACCAAGAGAGCCTCAACAGGATGAGTAGAACTAGGATACCCAGAAGAAGCTGAAGAGAAGAGTAGGGCCAATGTCACAGACAGGGGCAAGGAGTAGAAAGAAGATAAGATTTCTTTACACAGAGCTAAGTTGGCCAAAGTGAGGATTTGCCAAAATCTGCTGAAGGACCCATTTTTTTAAAAATCCTCACTCTACTGTGAACCCCTACCTTCATAAAATATAATGAATTTATTAGAAAAATTATCATACTCTTGGATGTGATGGCAGTGTCATTTGCTGTAAAATTTCTAGATCTGTACTTTTCCTGTTCTTTATCTCACCATAAATTGACAGGAGTGTGTGTCCCCCACTGAGAGTAGCACCTCTCTGAAAGAATCCTGGCTGGGGGGCCCCAAAAGAGGGTGGAGAGCAGGAGACCAGGGGGACTGATGCATGCCATTTTCAATTATATTTCAAAGAATACAAATTTGAAATTGTGGCGACCTTAGTTGTAGGAACAATTCCACTCCCTAACTTGCTTTACAACTCGCAAGCAGCTTCCTGTCTGCGGCTCCAGTAAAATAGGTAGATTGGCTGATCTCTTTAAGCTGGATATCATGTAGTACAGGTGCAGAGTCATCTGGGCTGCAATAGAAAGATCTCTTTAAACATGTGTAACCTGAGCTGTTACCTGTAAGTGTTCTATTCTCTAAAATCTCCTTTTGTGTAAAATACCTCTTTACACATAGTAAATATGTGCTTAATAATGTGACATTGTGACAAGTACTACACTAATCCTATCACAGTTACTATTTTGTAATTGGGTTATAGCATATTTAATTGCCTGAAAATGCAGGGTTACTAGAGAATAATATTTTGCACAGAAAGGAATGGTATAAATCACTTGGAGTGGGGAAATCCAGAATATGTTATCAGTAATATCCCCTCCTCCTTTTTTTCAGGGGAGAGAAAAATTTTCACATATTTTACTATATTTATGCTGGTCTTTATCACCAAAAGAAACTTCCTGAGTTCAGACTTCCTGAGAAAAAGCCTCCTAGGTAAGTGTCAGGTGTTTTAGTGTTCTATTTTATTTAATGAATGCACAACTACCAATTGACAAAACTTGGAAATAAATGGTGCTGTTTTCCCAACCGGATGCTGACCAGTCTCTTTATCTGCAAAATTCAGGATGAGAGGGTAGGAACTACATCTCACCATTTGCATTTTCTAGAAAGCTTAAAAACTCACCTACAGCCATTTTACTCAGCCATATGCACCATTATTCCACTGCAGGATTTGACTATAAGGGAAATGCTTTGGTGAAAAAGGAGCCCAATGATGCCATGGTATTTGGGGTGCCATTTGCCAAGTCAGTGCTCATTCTCTTTGGTCATACTCCATTTAGGTACATAGCTGATGAGACTGGAAGAGTGATGTATGATGTAACTTCCAAGGAGTCTTACAGAAGACAATTTGAAGCAATTCAGCATTGCTTCAGGATTATAGGTTTCACTGAGAAGGTAAGTGATTGTCAAGAGAAAAAGAAACTCAAGTGTTAATATTCTTCTTGGATCAGTGTGAGTGAAGATGTGAATATTCTAACTTGAGGCAGGGTAATTGCTTTTTATATGCCATGCTGGTCAGGTTTATAACGTCTTGCTACTCCAAATGTGATCCAAGGGCCAGAAACATTGTCATCACTGAGAGCTTGTTAGCAATGCAGACTCTCAGGTCCATCCAAGAATGGATGAATCAGAATCTGCATTTTAACAGGATGTGCAGGTGAATATTAAAATAGGAGTGCTGTAAGTGCATGTGCCTATGAATTGTTATCTTTGTCATTGGCCCATTACAACAGTGAGAGCCAACAGCAGAACAATGCTGCCCTGTTCCCAGTTGGGGCTGTTCCAACCATTAAAATGAATTGTGTACAGGAATGCAAGTAGCTGCTTGTACACCAAGACAAATTAATTAAAACTTTTCAACTTCCATGAAGTCACTTCCTTCTCCATGGTGCACAGTTGCACATTATTAACTACAGCTCTAAGTACTGTACTGCTGTTATCTTACTAGATACAACCTGTCTCTATTAAATATGCCAGGGGTGACAGAAAATTTTTATAACCCTAGGTTCAAATATTATTCTGTAATACATTTATGTCATAGTTTCTGGGCTTCCTGCCATTGATTTTGCAAAATACACTGATTCTTTTGTTTTCCCAGCAAAGGAGGTGAATGATTAGGAGGTAGGTGAGAGTGTTAAATCTTAAGGGACAAGATTAAAAAACACTCGAGTTACTCTGGCACAACCATTCTGGATAAAGGATTGCTTCTATAATCCAGTGAGTTTACCCAGCCCTCCCCTTCTCAGCATGTTTGATTTTAGTCATAATAATACCTTTCTTTTTTCTAGCCACCTGTTAATTTTCTCTGTCAGCCTCCTACAGACATGAAACTGATAGACAGTGGAAAATCCCAAAGGTCAGATAAAAATGGAAATATATTTTCCTTGGCTCCTTAGAGGAGAGCAATTAAACAGGTTCCAGCATTGTTAA